ATGGTGGTTGAAATATGGTGGTTGTGAAGTGGAAAGGGGCAGGCCAGGGATGGGGTAAAGAGGGGTGAGATATGGTTGTTTGTGATGGGTTTATACGTCCCACACATCTCAACAAATGGGATGTTTTATTCTTAGCTTTGGAGTGTAGTTGTAGGGCTTATTTGGTGGTTAAAATGGAGGGTGTGTATGCTGTTTGGGTAGGGAACAAAGGGGGTCCATGTGTTGGGGTTTATTATGGGGATGATATGTGTTGTTTTGGCTCTTGTGTTTCGGCCAGAATTGAAGGGAAAAGGATGAAATATTTGTGGGTCATTTTGGTGAGTTTAATGGGGTGTGTTTTTTTGATGAGAAAGGGTGGGGGTAAGGGGGTACGGCCTGGGCAGTAAAGAAAGAAAACAGGTTGTTTGGGTTTATTTTAGGGTGAGGAAAAATCCAATGAAATTATGGCTAAGGGTTTGGGTTTAGGAGGGGTAAATTCATTCCAAAAAGGATCGTAGGATTTAGTCATTAATCCGGTAATTTGTTTAAGGACTTTCGTAGGTACCGGGGGTATATCATGCATGTGCATGTGCATGTGCATGTGAATGTGCATGTGCACATACATATGCATACGTATACATATATGTATACGTATATGTATATGTATATGTATATGCGTACGTATACATATATGTATATGCATACGTATACATATATGTATATGCGTACGTATATGTATATGTATATGTATATGCAAATGCATATGCATATGCATACGTATATGTATATGTATATGTATATGCAAATGCATATGCATATGCATATGCATACATATATATACATACATATATATGAATGAATGAGAAATTGTAATGTCACACCAACAGAAATGAGTCCAATTTGTGAAACTAATGGTTTTGGGGTGCTTACGGTGCTCCGTTCATAAAATTGATGGTTTCTTCTCCCTTAAACCCCCACCCCCACCCCAACCACCATCCCCCCTGGATTGCTGATTTGGAGGCGGGGAGCTGAGGGTTGGGGTGGGGTCGGGGTGAAATTGATGGGGTGAGGGCATTTAGGGGGGTAAGAACCATCATTTTTACGAACGGAGTAGCATAGGTGTTGCAGAACCACTGGTGTCACAATGTTACACCACTTGAAGTGGTGTAACATTAGAGTCTCTCTCTCTCTCTCTCTCTCTATATATATATATATATATATATAATGCTGTCGTATTCTTCTGATATAAACTTCGCATTTATCGTATTATTATCTCTTGTAGCTAAAAAATCCAGTACCAAATTACTGCTCAATTCTCATCCATTCATTTCAAACTTTCTTGAAGTCACCTTTTAGTGAATTCTTATTTATTCCCAGTCTTTTTTACGAAATGCTATTTGTTACTCTCTAATTTATTTGTCAACTGTTCTAACCTCTGCCTTTTGTCTTTTTGTGGTTGAACGGGGTCTTTTGGGGACAACCTCTCCACCTTTTCTAGGTAGGGGTAAGGTTTGGATACATCCATGCTCAGACCCCATTTGTGGGGTTTTAATGGGTTGGTTGTTGTCATCCATTTTCAATGCTGATGTTTTTCTGAAGAAAAACAAAAGGATGAAAGAGTTTATATACTTCCTGAAGGATTTCTTTGTAATTTCTGTAGTAGTCCATGCTACAATGGTGCATCATTAGTTACGTAGAGATAAAATGTACACTTTTCCTTTAAAGCAGCAATAAGGACTTTGGGATTCATTTCAAATTATATTGTATGGTTTATCTTTCCTTGAAGTATTTCTTTCTAGAAGTTGTCAATTGAGAAATACATGAATTTTAATGAGAAAGAATGACTTTAGGGTCCACCAGGAACGGGGAAAACACAAACTATCCTTGGGCTTCTTAGTGCAATTTTGCATGCAACACCAGCTAAAATATTTACAGACAGGTGAGGATATTTTCATGTGTCATTTTCTCTTATTTAATGAAGTGATGGATTCAGAATATTCACTTCCCTATTTATTTTAGCAACAACAACATTACCCCAGTGCCTCAAAGACTCCCACCCATTGTGAGGTAAGGGTGGGTCGGATGTACGCACCCTTGCTACTTCAATTTTGAAAGAAACACAAACAGTTTAAAGATTCATTTTGTTTTATTTCGTCATATCCCAAAGGCAAAAATTAGTATTCTCAAATACTCTTAGTTGCATTGTACAATTTTTGTAGAACGTGTTATCTGTTGTATGTTAAGACTTTTTCCCTAATTTTGAATGAGCAGGAGGGAATTTAATACTTCAAAATGCAGACCAGAGTTATCCTTTAAGGACAAGTATGTTTATATATGCTCCTGCCCATCTATGTGTACCTTGTAGCTTTGTACATTTGTTATTGTAGTGAAATGGAGCATGTTCCTAAAGAATAAGATCACAAATTTTTAAAAAATATATAATGCAATCTATACAACTACTATAACCAAGCCTTTTCCCACTAGGTGGGGTTGGCTACATGGATCAAATGACGTTGTTGCGTCCTATCATGTATCATATCTACAACAAGATCAATCGCGTGTTGATCACCCTCTACCACCTTCTCATTAGATGCTCTACTGTTCTTCTCTCTACATGTCCATTCCACCTCAGACGGGCTTCCACCATCTTTTCATGAATAGGGTCTACTAGACCTGACAAACCTGACGCGGACCCAATAACCTGAATCGAATAACCCGGAACCGAATCCAAAATGACCCAAAAACTGAAGGACCTGATTAAATTGGAACATCCAAAATGATCCAAAAAGATTCGAATGCAGTATTTAGACCTAATTCAGATCCAATTCAGATCCGGATCCGATTAAACCCGAACCAATTAAACCCGGAACCGATTAGACTCGATATTGATCTGAATGCGATCAGATTCTAGAATCAGTAGGAATCTCCTTGGAGAATTTAAAGATTCTATTCAATTTACCTTATAATCTTATTTTTAAATTATCAACTGAATACACAATCTATCTCATTCTATTGTCTGGACTCGAATTACCTCATTCAAAAATAGCTCATTCTAAAATTCAGAACCAGCTTTTCCTTGAATTCATACTAAATGCACCGAAAAAGTGTTGATAATTGTTAAAGAGTATCCCACACCGGAAAAGTGTGAGGTAAAATAATGGGTATATAAGCTCTTGAGTTGAACTAAGTAATCGATTGGATTCAATCTTTTAATGTGGTTCAGCCCAAGTGTCTTATTATCCAATCCAGTTATCTCTACCCAATCCTAAATTCTATCATGATATCGGAGCAGGTTTTGGCCACCTCGTTTGTCAAGGTGTCCGTCTAGACGTTCATTCATAGCGGCCCGTTTGTCTTTAGCCCAGTTGTTTATATGGAGTATGTACCCAACGATCTGTGGCATGTTTAACACGATTGCTCGTCTGGAAGTTCATACCCAACGCCTTGTGGTCCTTTAGGTGTTGGCAATAAAAAAATCAAGGGGATGAGAGTCCATTTGCAAGTGGTCAACCGGTTAGATTCAAAATGGATTGGTCGTCCACTTGAGGGGGAGTGTTAAAGAGTATCCCACATCAGAAAAGTGTGAAGAAAAATAATGGGTATATAAGCTCTTGAGTTGAACTATGTAATCGATTGGATTTAATCTTTTAATGTGGTTCAACCCAAGTGTCTTATTACCCAATCCAGTTATCTCTACCCAATCCTAAATTCTATCAATAATGTCTCGGAAACATCGTGAAATTTGAATTTTTTTAAATGGGTTTCTTCTATCCAAATAGGAAATCATGAAAATTGACGTAACATATATCTTTAGATGTTCAAAATAATCAGGCCTCTCCTCCCTAGAGCTGGTTGGAGAGGAAGCATATGGATTACTTTTCTTGAATATTGCAAGGGAGTGCTTTTAATACTCTCATTGGGGGAGAATAAGTCACTGCCTTGATAAAATTGTAGCTATGTATTTGGAGCATATCTCATAGATATCTTAGAGATTTGGTTATTCATATTTTCTAAAACTTTAAAATGTATCATTTGTTTCTACTGTCATCGATATTGAATGTAAATTTAGTAAATGAACAGGTACAGTCATTGGCTCAAAGCATCTCCATGGTTAACTGGACTAAATCCTCGTGAACAAGAGATGCCTAGGGATGGCGATGACGGCTTTTTTCCTACATCTGGGAATGAATTGGTATGCTATGTTTAATCTCTATTTTTGTTTGGACTTTTAGGGGGTCAGATTTCACTAACTTTATCCTTTTTAGAGACCAGAAGTAGTCAATTCCACACGAAAGTATCGCGTTCGCGTTCTTATTTGTGCTCCATCAAATCCTGCTCTTGATGAGATTGTTCTGCGTGTTCTAAATACTGGTAAGCACTCTGAGCAGATTGCTTCACAAATGGGAAGTATTTCTATTATGGGTTTTCTAATTTTGTGTTTTTTGGGCCAAGCACAAGTTTTAATTCCACCAAAAGAACATATACAAACAGTCACAGAGCAGAAGACTACAAAAGGAAACAAAACACAATCTATCGTTTACTAGTGTAAACAGAGACAAGTTGGCTTATTTTATGTGTTTGTTATTGTCATACCTTCAATAAATCAACAGAGCGGTCAAATTAAAGGCCCACAGGGTTGTGCCTAATTTGCGTCTTGTTGGCTTTCTTCATAGAGATAATCATAAGATCACCATGAACTGCTATTCAAAAAATATAACTGGATGTACCTGTCTGTTAGCAAATCTAAAAACTGCTTACATGGTGTGTGTTTGCCACTTGTTGGCTTCTATTTTTTAGCCTTTCCATTTCTTCTTTAAACATTACCTCAACCTTTTCCATTTGTCAAATTTTGATTTTTTTGGAATGGTATTTACTTGAAGTTAAAAATTCACTTCATCTGCTCCAGTTGGCATGTATTCGGAACTTGATTTGGTTCTGAATTCACTCTCACTTCTCCATTTTAAATGGTTCTGTTAGTTCAATCTCATATGCTAAATTCATGTTTGCTGCTTTCAGGTATTAGAGATGAAAATGACCGTGTGTACAATCCAAAAATTGTACGGATTGGTCTGAAGGCTCACCATTCTGTCGATTCAGTCTCCATGGATAAGCTAGTATGCACCTGAAGCTCATTTTTCATATGTTTATAATGTACATTGACAATGGAGCTAAAATAGTCATTTTGAGAATGCTTTAGCTTCAAGTAAATAATGGACTAGATTAAAGTGCCACACTAAAATTCCATTGCATCTTATTTTCATAAAGTTTTGGGAAATAAATGCTTAAGGGTCTTACAGTGACAATCTTTCTGTTTATTGGGGTAAGCTTTTGACTCCATATATGATAGACCCCTACAAGTGTAGGATTATCATGGTTCTTTGTTGCTGTTTTTTTTGGGGGCCTGTTTGGAAGTGTGAAAAAGCCCGGGAAAGAAATGGAAGAAATATAGATGAAATTTTGAAGGAAAAAGAATGA